CACACACACACACACACATGCACATACACACACAAACACTCACACACACACACTCACACACACTCACACACACACACGCACGCATGTGCGTGGAACTTTTTTGCTCATGTGTGCTTTAAGGCAGCCTCATTCTTAGCTATGTCAACAATCCCTGGAAGAAGGTTAAAATAATTTTATTCTACCATAGTGGCCATAACATCTTATGTAGAAATAAGAGTTTATTGAAGAACTTCTATGATGAAAATCTCATTTATTCACCATATCCAGGTTCTGGAACCATGATTCCAATTTTCTTCCTGGCCACACTCTGCTTGGGAGTGGTCCCAGCTGCCCCAACCCATGATCCCAGTTTGGATGATGAATGGCAAGAATGGAAGACAAGACATGGGAAAACATAAAACATGGTTGGTGCCATAAACACTACCCAGAGGCAACACAGAGATAATGGTCCTTGCTGTGGAAATTTTATATGGAGTTGACATCATGAAATCCAGTTACTCCCTAGCATGATCACCATATATGAGCACTGATGCAAACCACCCTATCGACAAGGGGTCTGGATCGTGGCTTCCAAAGGTGTACAGTTTCTCTTGGTTCTCACCATCTGTAGCAGCAGGTCCACTAAGGGAGCGAGGGTTGGGCTTAATGTAGTAGAATGACCACACACTGGATTTATTCCAGGATGAAGAAGGACAGAAGAGAGCAGTGTGGGAGAACAACAGGAAAATGATCGAGCTGCATAATGAGGACTACACTAAGGGGAAGCATGGCTTCCACTTGGAGATGAACGCCTTTGGTGACTTGGTGAGTGTGACATGGATTACAGAACATGATTTCTTCTCTTCAGTTCTTTGTGAGTCATCTCTCCCTTTGCAATGATTTGTCTAATTTTTCTTGAAGACCAATACAGAATTCAGGCAATTAATGACTGGCTTTCAAAGCATGGGAACCACAGAGATGAACGTATTCCAGGAGCCTCGGCTGGGTGATGTCCCCAAGTCTGTGGATTGGAGAAAGCATGGCTATGTGACTCCTGTGAAAGACCAGGTAGGACTTGTCACATTCTCGGTATCATCGTCCAATAGGAAGCTTGGAAGGAAATGTCTTCCTTGTCTCACTAACTGTGGATCTGCAGACACTTCAACATGAAATTATTATATTGTGCAAATTGCTATCAAATGTCTGTATCAATTTCTGTATTAATTTTGTAGGTGACAGCTTTTTCTTTCTTTTTAGGGTAGTTGTGGTGCTTGTTGGGCATTTAGCGCTGTTGGTTCCTTAGTGGGACAAATGTTCTGGAAAACAGGGAAACTGGTCCCTCTGAGTGAACAGAACCTAGTGGACTGCTCCTGGTCACATGGCAACATTGGCTGTCATGGTGGCTTGATGCAAAATGCTTTCCAGTATGTGATGGACAATGGAGGTTTGGACACCAGTGAGTCTTATCCTTATGAATCACGGGTAAGTAGGAATCCTACCTTGTCATTCCAGCTCAGGTCTTAAGAAGCAGAACAATCGTGCAGACAATACCCTGTCCTAAGAACTCATCTTTCCATGATAGGATCCATTCTATTAAATCCTCAGTGCTGCCATTAAAGTGTCAGCCTTTGCATGCTGGTCTGATTCCACGGCTTCCATGTAGCTGCCCTTGCTTCTGTTCACATGGAGTATATGCAAACCATTCCACAAATAGTACAGATTTCTCCACTGTGAAAATTTATTATCAATAGGAAATCTATAGGCTGTCGTGGAAGATGCATGAGCTGGTTTCTGCCAGCTTGTCAGGACTTTCGACATTTTACATAAACTTGGAGATCCTCAGGAGCAATACTGTGTCCCTGTGGTTCTGACTCATGGTCCCCAGAAAGTAGATGGCAATGACCATGATTTTTGTTTTACCTTTGTCTTTCAAAGAATACAACCTGCCGGTACAATCCTGAAAATTCTGCTGCTAATGTCACGGGCTTTGTGAAAATCCCAGCAAATGAATATTCCCTGATGAAGGCTGTGGCCATCGTGGGGCCCATCTCAGCCGCAATTGATACTAAGCACCATTCTTTCCAGTTCTACAGGGGTGGTAAGCGGTCTTCTTCTCAGTAATCACAGAGAAGGGTGTAGCCTCCACAGCTCACCCACTTGATGATGTGTTTGATTTTGCTTGACATTAAGAACAATCCTATGAACTTGTGTCCAGCACAGTTGCTGAATCTTTATGATTTTAAAAAGATATTCCACTTTTGTAGGGTAGTCTAAGGGGGGGGCTTCTTGATTCCTGTATTTTGTATTTTGTTTAGTTTCCATGGACTGACACACTTTGTAAGAGGTCGAGGTTTCTTGTATCCATACTAACCTTTATTTCTATTATGATACATAAGCACTTATGTCCCATGGCTTGCTAACACAAAATCATTCCTGTCTGTATGTCATTGCACCAAAATTAGAAATGTTTCCATTACTTTGGGTGACAGAAGTCACTGTGGGGTCACTGGAGCATCTCATTCAGCTTTGATTTTATCTGCCAGGCATGTATTATGAGCCAGAATGTAGCAGCAGTAATCTGGATCACGCCGTCCTGGTGGTTGGCTATGGTGAGGAGTCAGATGGCAGGAAATACTGGCTGGTCAAGAACAGGTAAAAATAGCCAAAACATTTATGTTTGAAACACTAAAGGGAAGTACTGTCTGCAGGCAGTATTTGGGTGCAGGTTTCAGCAATTTACCCCACATAATTTCAATACAGAAGTTTTATAGTGTTTATAATGATAAGACTGTCAAAAGAGGTGACCATCTGCCTTCTCTCATCCTGTCTGTCAAGTGTGACCTCTGTCTGTGTTTCAATTGGGAGTTAATGTAGTAAAGCTTCTGTGTTGTGCTCTTCCTACTGAATGGTGAATATGCTCTTCTTTCAGCTGGGGTACATATTGGGGCATGAATGGCTACATAAAGATGGCCAGAGACCGGAACAACAACTGTGGAATTGCTACATATGCCATGTACCCTACTGTGTGAGCTTCTAGACAGCAACAAGGAAGAAGTGGGAACAGCATGTACAGAGCAGATCTTCCCCCTTCACAGACCAGTCTCTGCTGTGGGGGTAATGACAGCTGAGTCACTGAAGGTCCGTGCTATGGTATGAAATTCTGGGACATTTCCTCTGGTTAAATGTGACTGCCACTCTGCTGCTATAATCAGCTTTGTATCAATGAGTTCTGATGTTTCACTTTGTATAATATGTACACAATTTTTATAAAAAAAAAACAAAAACCTATGTATAAACGACTGATTCCTTGCATCTTGCTATGGTGGTTTCTCCTAGTCACACATGCAATCCAGGCATAGTGAAGGTGGTAACAGTGTTGTGTTTAGGGGAAAGGAAAGATGACTCTGTCCTCAGGTCAATATTGCAACCATGATCAGATTTTGAGGTACTCACCACCAACCAGAGTCTGAAAACACATGAAACTTTTGGAGTCTTAAAGTTTTAATTCACACATATTTTTAAAGGTTAAATTATTTGCCATTCTGTGTAGTGAGATGGCACTTTGGGCTGTTCCATTGAACTGGGTCTGAGCCTTAATCCCCTTTTGAGACATCAGTCCTGTGTTCTGGTGGCCCTGTCACCCTGTAGAAGCCATCTGTAGCCAGATCTACAGTCACAGGAGGCTTACATGCTGAAGTGACATTTTCATAACTGGGCTTTGCAATGCAGAAGCGTGGAAACTTCTTTTCTTTCACTTTCTTCATAGTTACCTTTGCTATCTCTTAGCATGAGGAACAAATATGCATGGGCTCAGAGATCCAATGAACCAGCCATCTCCAAACTGCAGAAGAAACACAGCTTATCCTGTCCCCAGGCATTTGATGGTTGAAAAAGGGGGGAGGGGAACGTCCATGCAGATTCCAAAGCAGCTTATCTAAGGGGTACAGTTAACTTACCCATCCTGCCTTTAAAGACGCCTGCTGCAACTCTCCCGTCATTAGCTACACAACAACAAGCTTTGAAGTGGACATCTGTTCTCTCTTGAACTCTGGTCAATGAGTGACTGTGTCATGTGCACCGATCACCATGCGACTAGAATTTGAGACACCACCTCTCCAGCATTAAATATATCCTGCTATAGCTGATTTTAGTCATCTAAATCACATGTACTGTTTCTTCCTACAAATTCAATCCTTATACATTCTTACACAAGGTCCATAAGGGGCAGAGCAGAGTAGGATCAGAAATCTGGGCTCTTCACCTTGCTGCCTGTGGTGCCCACACTGTGCACTGCAGGCCATGGTGTACCGTGAGATTAATTTGAGATGTGGACTCATTACCATCTCACTGGCCAAGCCTCAACCTGTGGTGAGATGTAGGCTCTGATACCTGAAGGTCAGAGAGGGAAGAACAAGTTCAGTAGGCCTTAAGAAGTGACTGTTAACCTTGTCCATGGGAGAGAAAGACAGAAAGAATGGTGACTGTGCCCAGGCCCAGAGCTTGGGAACAGAGGTGCAGGTAGTGAGTGCAGCAGGGTGTGGTCAGAGAGGGTAATTCAGGATGGAGTGGGGAGTTTAGTTTGACCTAGGCCTGTGAGGCAGGGAGGTGTGAAGATAGATTGCATAGGGTCAGAACTCCCTCTGACTCTCCAGCTTCAGCCTCAAGGCTTGGGGGAAGCTGGAGCCCTGCTAGCAGGAGTCCCTGACAGTGAGGCAAGGTGTGCAGGTATTTTCTGGCCTTAAATAGGCTTTGGTACTCTGTGAGCAGGAAAGAAATGGCAGCAGAAATCCCCAAATAAGTGCTTAAAGCAAGTTGTTAAAAGTCACGAAGTGAGTAGCACCTGTCCTCCAAGCCTGCCTCGGTGATCTATTGGAAGGTTCTAGATCACCATTCTTCACTGAGTTCTCTTTCCCAGCTGGCCTCAACCTGTACTACTTTCCAGAGGTCTCTCTTCCTGTCAGCCTTTGGGCTCTAACTGAAACATCCTTGAGACTGACAGGAAGAAGAATCTCCGCTGCCCCATGTGTTTGTCAGGTTTTGGTAAGGTGATACTTTGTAAACACTGTACCTCAGCCTCTTCACACAAATGGCTTCTTTTGGCTTGTGGCCAAGCATCAACACAATTACCTCAGATACTGTCTGTTAGAGTTTTCACAGTACCTAGTGTGGGGATGACATTGCATGTGGTAATACATTGTTTATGACTTATTAACGCTACTGGAGATCAAAAGAGCAAAGCAGCCATACAGGTTAGCCATAGAAGCCAGGCACACACCTTTAATCCCAGCACTAGAGAGATATAAAAGATAGGAGCAGGCTCTTCAGTAGTCAGTCTCAGAATTCTCCAGCCTTGTTGAGGAGAACATACCAGTCTGAGTGAATTTGAGGAGTAGTGAAGTCGGGAGCAGTTTGAAGATTGCCCCTTTGGCTTGAGCTGAGGTAGAGATAAGAGCTAGCAGCTGGCCATTTTGCTTCTCTGATCTTCAGCTTGAAGCTTGACCCCCAATGTCAGTCTCTGGGTCTTTTATTTATCATGTTACAACTGCACTTGGTGCTTGACAAGAGATAAGAAAGGAGCAGAATCCATGATAAAGTGCCCCGTTGTAGTCTGCAGTGCACGGAGAGAATCTGAGTTGAGGTAAGTCACACAGGGCACAGTAAATTCATTGTCACTCATAATGAAGATTCCAAAAGGGTGAAACAAAGGCCTGAACAAAATGTCTCCCCAGTGCACCATACACACACTTGTCATCAAATGCCATATTTAAAGGCTTTATTTCTTCACAGAACCAAATTTTTCAGAAACATCTTATAAGGCCATTGGCCAGAAATTGACCATGCTTAGAAGACTTAGGGAATTCCCGGACTATAGAAAAGATTCCACGCATTGAAAGAATGGGAAATGTGAATGTCCCGGGAAGGAATTCCAGAACAAACATTCAGCAGGAGTTCCTTGGGGAGGTGATTTTGTGATGGGTTTTAGTTAATGTGTCTAGAGATCTCAAATGGAAATTGAAGTTGATCAAGACCATTTTTCCCCACAGTCACCATCCTGCGTCCACACTGCCCCTTGCCCTGTGGAGTCTCCTTCTTCCTATCATTTCTCACAAGACAGAGGCAGAAGAGAAGGAAGACATGAGTGACAAGATCCTGCTGCTCACTGCTGACAGCCCAGCACGTGACTGAGGAGCACACTCAAGCTTTCTACAGAGCCCATCACTGACACCCAGTGTGCACGCAGCTCCTGTGCTGAGTGTCCTGCCTGCCACCTTTTCAAAACCAATACTGGGTTCTCCAGAGACCACACCCCAGACCAAGCTTGTCTTCTCAAGGTGCCTCCTACCTGGCATCTTCCCAGTATGGAGGCACCCACCTTGACACCACACAAACAACCCACAGGTGCCACCAAACTCTGGAAAACTCCATAGTGCCTTACCTCACTGTTGAGGAGTTCATACAGGAGGACTGTTATCTACACATCTCCAACCCTCCCTCCCCACTTCAGTATCTCCTGTGACCTCCCACCACCTCTCTCAAATCCAGGGCCTCTTCCTCTATAAATGTAAATTATGTGTTTACATTAAAACCTACAGAATATATTTAGAGTGGCTGGTGTGTACATGTGTTCAAAGCTAACCACCTGGGGTTTTGTAATTTATCCAGGGACCTGTACTTGCACAAGACTGATCCTCCCTCTCAGCAGCCATTGATTGCCCGGGGTTCTTCATCTGAGAGTGAAGCCTTGTGAAATTTACCACACCTTTCTGGCATTTCATGGGCTTTGCTGCTGCATAGAGATGTTTGCGTATTTTCCTTAGCAAGTTGCCTAGCATGTTTGGCAATGAAAAATATCATACATGATTTGGGGATCTATTAGACACCTTTGACCAATGACACGAAGGTCATTGCAATTTATCTTAGTCTATGGCTCTTTGGAGAAGCATCATCATCCCATGAGATTCCCTGTTTGTAACCCTGACACTGCAATTTATCTTAGTCTATGGCTCTTTGGAGAAGCATCATCATCCCATGTGACAGACTCCATTGAAAACACACACACACACACACACACACACACACACACACACACACACAGTGTGTGTGGATTTTTTTTAAGAAAATATAAGATGACGTTTCCCTATGGGTTTTTTCAGTGACCCTTGGTGTTATTCACCTCTGCTCCTTCCCTCACTGTCTTCATTACCCTCCCTCCAGGAGCCTTTGTTAAAGTACCCCCTGTTTGTCTCAGCCCCCCAAAACGCCTGCTATCCCTCTCTAGAGCTCATTTCCCATCCTAGGTTCCATTGTTACTTTCCTACTTTCTGCCAACACTCCAGATCACATTCTCACATCCAGACTCAGAACTGGGATCCACAAATGAGAGAGGGCATGAAGCATTTGTCTTCCTGGTCTGGGTGCCCTCGCTCACTATAATGGTGTCTGCTTCCTTTCATTTACCTGCAAATTTTCATTGCCACATTGAGGTGGAGCAGTTTTGAGGTAAGGTCTCAGTAAGTAACCCTGGCTAGACTGGTACTCACTAAGTAGATGTATTGACTAGTTTTACATCACCTTGACACAAGCATGTGTCATCAGAGAGGAAGGAGCCGCAGTTGAGAAAATGCCTCCATAAGATCAAGTTATAGTCAAACCTGTAGGGGATTTTCTTTGTTAGTGATTGACAGGGAAGGGCCCAGTCCATTGTGGGTCTTTGGCTGGTAGATCTGGGTTCTATAGGAAAGCAGGCTGAGCAAGCGGGGGGAAGCAAGCCAGTAAGCAGCTCCCCTCCATGGCTTCTGCATCAGCTCCTGCCCAGTTAGAGTCCCTGTGCTGACTTGATTCAAGAATGAACACTGATGTGGAAGTGTAAGCCAAATCAGCCCTGTGGTTTGGTCATGGTACCTTATCACAGCAATGACAAGTCCTTAACAGTAGACCAGGCTGGGTGGAACTCAGAGATGCACCTGCGTCTGCAGCCTAGTGATGTGCTAGAATTGAAGGCTGTACCCATGCTCTCACTTTTCCTTATGATGGGTGCAATAGCATTTCATGATGCATATGAATACCATCTTACCATCATTCACAATTCAGGACGATTAGAATGCTTACATTTACAACTTGCCACCTAC